ATATTTCAGAATAAAAAAATTATGTGTAGACAAACATATCCATAAAGAGTTCAACTTATTAAATTAAACTTAGGGAAAAATGTCTGAAATATATTCGAACTTTGATCAAAATTGTTGTAACAATACCGAACTTTGGAAATGACCTTTTACCCCCTGCACTATTTAATAGTGTATTTTAAAGGTATATATGTGTCCACGTGGACATCATAAATATTGCAATATTATAAATAGTAATGTGTCCACGTGGGCACATATGTACCTTTAAAATACATTATTAAATAGTGCAGGGGGTAAAAGGTCCTCCATAAAGTTTGGTATCGTAACAGCAAATTCGACCAAAGTTGGAGTATTTTTCAGACTCTTTTCCCTTAAACTTACTTTTCTTATTAAAATAAGGAGAATAATTTTAGGTAAAAAAATTTCATAAGATCGAAAGTTCTCAAGCGATTTAAAATTACAAAAGGTATAAAATTTAAGTACTAATAATAAACTTAATTAAGACTTAAAATTTGATATATTTGGATTAAACACTACAAAGAATCTTTAGAATATTTGTAGTACTCAACTATTCTAAAAATTAGTTATTTGGCGAATTTAATTAACGAGCTATTTATGATCGCGCGAAGCGCGGCTAAGTTCACTAGTTTAGTGATATAGTAGTCAAAGAAACACCAACAATACATTTGAGTATGGAATACTAATCAAGAAAATATACATTCAAGAACATTATGTTTTCCTTGACGTGAGGAGAGCATGCCTCAAAGTTGGGCAAAGACAAGAATAAATCCAAACCTCAAATGTCGTAGTCGATAGTACAAGTCACGAGAAAGGTAAGACTTCTAAAGATCGTGGGTTAAGTCTTCAAAAGTTAAGGAAAAAGAAGTACTTGAAGACTCAAAAAAGGTGAGAATATCGGATCTGCGTGTCAAGCTCTAATTTTTTTGATCTTCTGACTGAAAAATCTGAATCCACCACATCTTATATAAGTTTGACTCAATTTAAATAAAGTTTAATTCAACTTGATCAAGCTCGCATTTATGGAGATAGTTATCAAGCTCATCAAACTTGTTTTGTTCCATTTGTTAGACTCGATGGTAAATCTTGTAAAGGATCTTTATCAGGATGAAATCAATTATTTATCGATTCCTCGTGTTATCGTGATGTTGAATTGTGGTTTAGGAAGCTATTGAAGTTAGGGGTGGAGCTCTTGATGACTTATTTCACCAACGAATTAGAGCTTTCATGTTTAATGTTAAATAGTTTTTTTTGCACCGCAAATTTACATATTAGCTATCTCGTAATTATATCCACTAGAGCCATATTGATATTGTAATTCACATGTCTTGCATACTGTTGTTAAAAATTCAGTTATATATTAATGATCTAGGGTATTTTATTAAAGAAATGTTTAATTGTAAATTGCTTTCAATCAATATGATTTGGCTGTTATTTCTTTCATTAAGTAATTGTTATGTATCACCTTAACTATTTTACTGGTTATGAGACTGATGCATAATATATGTGATAATAGAATATTTGGCTAGATTTGACATTAACACAAATAAGTTGAATCAAATTAAAACTATTAATCTAACTACTAGCAACAATAAGAATAGTTATGTCTCAATCCTAAACTCATTAGATGTTCGAGTTAGCTATATGAATTATCACACGAATTATTCCACTTAATCTTACATCCATTTCATATCATTTATTATTTCTTAAAAAACGTAATGTAGACGGGGAATAATATATATATAGCTTTCATGAGGTTTACTTTGATTGAATGGGCCCTGCAGAGCACGATCTAGATTTAGTCGGAGCTCTAATGTGGGATATGGGAAACCAAAAAAAAAAAAAAACCTTTGTTTGAAGCGTACATTTTGATAAAGCACATGACTTCTACATGAAGCAATAATCCCTTGCTTATGTAAGGCTGAGTTTGTTGAATTTAATAACACTGGCTCTCTTCTTCCATCAGTGACGATAGCAGCATTTATATGCTCTTTTTTTTTTTCTTCTTATATTTGTATTTTTTTTGTTCACTTTTACGGTTCAATTTAAAAAATTGACAAATAATATCTCACTTAACTTTTAATTATTTTTTTATTAATTATATTCATTTTTCTAAAATATTGAATTATTATATTCAAAAGTAATATACTAAAATTATTGTTTTAAAGTATTTATTATTTCTTGTCATATCAATATTGGACATGTGAAAATGTAATAAACCAAACTTTGGAAATTGAAAATTAAGAAATTGATAAAAATATCAGGCGGCTGTAACTTTTGTCATGCAGCACATACGCATCCTTACTTAGTAAAGCGTGACAATTTTTTTCCTCGTAAATATATTTTGTTACTTTAATTAGTTGAATGTTAATTAAAGTGAGATGTTTAAAGAAGATATTTTACTTGATATAAAGTGTAAGAATAAAAATAAGACTTTTGAAATTAATAATATAAAATAAATTATAAATATTTATGTGGTTATAACTCATCTCACTATAAAATAAAACGGTTAAAATTAAATTATTTCTCATACTAAATATAGAAATGAGTATTTTCTTTTTTGCTACCAAAGCAAAGAAGATTGTCAGAAATGTAGACTATCACAGTTAAATTGGGGTGAATTGTCACTTTACTATTTGATACCCAAACTAGCAAGTAGCAACTCACATGTAGCTCTCTATCCAAGATAGATATAATTGCATTTCCTCTTTAAAGAATTGAGAAGCCAATCATTCTTTTTAAAATAAAAAGTATAATAAGATGAGCAATGCCACCAACTTGGCTAGGCTTATATAAGGACAAAATCAACTCTCTTTTCATCCTCCAAACCAACCAACCACCTCTCTTGCAGCCACCATTTTTTCCTCCTAAATCCTCTTCTTTCTTCCAACTTTCAAGAAAATGGAATTCTCAACTTTCCATCCCTCAACATGGAATTCTTTTTTCACCTCTCCTCTCCTTTTTCCCTATCAGTTCATTCCTGAGAATTATGTTCACTGGAGAGAGACCCCTGAATCTCACATATACTCTGCTGATCTTCCAGGTAAACACACACACAAAAAAAAAAAAAAAAAAAAAAAATAGTGTTGAACTAGTTAAAGTGACTCTTTCTTGGACACCCTTTGCTTTTTTCTGTATTGGGTATTAATTTTCTTGAATTTTGGATGATTTTTTTTTTTTTTTTGGATAGGTGTGAAGAAAGACGAAATAAAGGTGGAAGTTGAGGATTCAAGCTATCTGATAATAAGAACCGAAGCAGCCAATGAAACAACAGAGCCTATAAGGAGCTTTATGAGGAAATTTAGGCTACCTGGAATGGTGGATATGGATGGAATTTCTGCTAGTTATAGAGATGGTGTTTTGACAGTCACAGTTCCAAGAACACTTGTGAGAAGGGGATTTTTCATTGAACCAGATGACTTGCCAGAAAGCATAGTGAATCTTGGTGCTAGTGCTGCTTGATTATTTTGTTTCCAAACAAGATTTGGTTGATATTAATACCTAATCTTATTATTATTAGTATTATTATAGGGTTTAGGGAGGGGGATTTCAAGATTGTGCTCTCTTTGAGATTATGTACATAGTTAGATCAATGGTAATCCTTAAACTGAATTTGCTGTCATTCCAAAAACTTTTGAGCTTGAAAAATACTATATTTGTAACAAAAGGATGGAGTGCAGTCTATTTACCCTGATTTTACATTCCTTCTCCTTTTCATGTTCCACCCTCCCATTTTTATTTAGAAGTAAAAGAACAAAAACCAAGGGTGTGTTTCATGCCGGAAAATATATGAGTTTCTTATTTATTTTTAATATTTGGTAAGTGCATTCTAAATTATTATCTTAAATATTTATATATAATTTAACTAAATATTATCAGGGTGAAATCAGGGGTGTGTGGAGGGGCATTGAGTAGGTGGAGAGAAAATAATGAATTTGAAGGTCACTTGTTTGTTTCTTCTTCATTTAGAAAATTATTTTTTCTCATGTTTAAAACTTATTTTCCTAGAAGAAAATATTTAAACAAATTTAACATGATTTTTTTTTTTTGAAATACTCTCCTCCTTACCAAACACGCCCCAAAGCTTATGCATTAGTATCTCCAGGGAAAATCTGGGCACGATAGTTTCAGAATTCAATGCACCACCATTGGAAGTTGAACTTGGTTAATTAAGAAGAAAAGCATTGGAAGCTTCAAAAAATATCTTCATCTTTACCGAGGGAGCAGGGAAGACGATAATATGGATTTTAAAATGGAAGAGTGAGATAAGAGGGTAGAATTATTTTACCTAAATTCAATAAACAAATTTTGGGCTAAAAAAGAATTTAACAGTAGATGGGTGGTGATATTTTTTTGGCTATAGAATCTAAATAAAGCTTGGGGACGGCAGCCTGTAGGTGGGCCCTTCCGCCCCTTTACTTCACGTCTACTTTAACCAACTTTTAGTTTAATGAACTGCAACTTGCCCTTGCCAGATAATTAAAAATTACAACTTGCATGATTTTAAGCAAAAGGCTGCAACTTGCAAAAGCCACACACGGAGTATGATCAATGCAATCAAAAATATCTTATCCAGATTTAATGACACCCGCAAGGCAACTGACCAATTTAGTGGATTCAAACTCAATAAATGAGGTTAGTTTCTACTATTAGATTAACAGGGTAAGTTTTGGCACTATATCTAAAAAATAATATGTAGTTGTCGAAAATAAGTGGAACTAGTTACTTGAAAATAAAGCAGGTACTACTAAACTGCCAAGATACAGTAATCCTAAAACTAACAGATGCTCTCAGACAATCACATAGAGTCCCTAATGGACTATCTAAAAGTCAGATCAATGATATGGTGTTAGAGAATGGGAAGTTAAAGATAAAGTAAAGCTCTCTTCACAATTCAGATATAAAAGGTTTCTAGTCTTTCTTGTTATACATGATGTACAAATTGCATGTATAGCAATATCAAGAAAGATTTAGAACTTTTATCCAACTAGAAAGAAAATTCTTACACCTTCATAGAGAGTCGTCTAGTTGGATTTCCCATGGACACTTTAATCAATTCCAATATCTCAACAGCTTCTCTCAATCTTTTGTCCACAGGCTCTTTCATTGCGTGAGGTTTAGTCCTGCATAAATTATGTCCAATTAGCTCACTATAATCTAATGTATGGAGAAAGAAGATTAAGCAACTGGGGTTGGTATACTAAAGAGCAGACCTCTTGTCAGCTTTTGCTCTTCTTGAAAGCTCTTCCACATGATTGTGCAGTCTCTTCAAAAGAGCAGGCGACTTGCACACAGCTTCAACACCTTTTTTCTCTGTGAATATCTTCTTCAGAAGATCGGAAGCAATGAAATATCCCTCTTCTTTGTTTCTGAACAAGCATTTGCAAAGCAGAAATATATAAAGCTTACGTCATCTTAAGTGCATTGGAAACTTTATTTTAATGCTCAATATTTCAATAGCAAACCTTAAAAACTCCGACACTATTGTTTCCAGTGATCCATAGCTTTCAATTAGTACATCAATCAAATGTGGATATCGGGAAAGGTTTCTGAGAGTGGAGAGAGCAGGTTTAAGAACTTCTTGATCAGGTATGCTCCGGCTGAGAGAGCGGATCAGCTTAAACAATGTACCAACAGCACCCGCAGCAACAAGTTCTTCACAACACTTTTGTGAATGTTGTGTTGCCATATCTATCATAGGAAAAATGAGAAAATTATTGCTTTGTGATCCCTAGCTGAACAATCTTGATTGAATGCAAACTCATGATCTTCTAAACATGCATTGTTCTAACATTTATTGTTAAATTAAAGTCCAGTCTCTATAGAAAAGAGCTGCACAACAAATAAAAGGACAACATACATCAGTAAAGACCGCACAACTCAGTTAAGGGCAATGAAATATGAGATATAACGCCAACATTGGTAAGTAAAAGGACATTGACAACAAGAGATGATCAACAATATTTGTGCCAGATGCACAAGAAACTTACTCAGAGTTGCACAGATATGAAGAATGTCACTGACACTTCTCATATTCAGAAGTTCTGACAATGCTGCGACAAGTCTGTTTATTATGCGCATGCCATCATCAACATTTGCAGCAGATTTTTGTATTTTCAGACGCAAATCAAGAAGCTGCCCTCTTAAATCTTTTCTTGCAAGGTATCCTTTCATGTATGCCTGCATAGCGAAAAATAAAGCATGAAAACAGAAAATTCAAAAAGAAAGGCAGATGCTGCTGCTTCAACTCCACATAAATTTGGAAATATTCAGAACATAAACAAGAAAATTATCCAAGAAGATCTCTAGCAGATCCCCTACGGTATAGGCACAATCAGTACAAGCTTAATCATGCAACACCGAGCTTCATTCTATATGGCTAATAACATCTGAACTTCAGAAGTTGCCTCAAGAATGTTAAGAAAAGCACGGTGCTATTAGAGAGATCAATAACTTACTTGGATCACAACAATTCGGTGCTTGTTTCTTGAAACACTTTGGCAGGCTATCCATCCTCGGACATACGATTGGATGACAACTGCTGATTTTGTTCTCTGTTTATGAAGTAATTTACCTCTCCACCACCTTTGCAACTTTAATACTGCTAACAGTGTCAGGTACTTCTTTCTTGAAGCACTTTGTCGGGCTTTCCATCCTAGGATATGTGATTGGATGACAACTGCTGCTTTTGTTCTCTGTTCATGAAGCAATTTACTTCTCCACCACCTTTGCAACTTTAATACTGCTTGAAGTAATCGTTCCTTGTTTCTTGAAGCACGTTGCCGGGTAATCCATCCTAAGGCATGCGATTGGATGAAAACTGCGGCTTTTGTTCTCTGTGCATGAAGCAATTTACATCTCCACCACCTTTGCAATTTTACTACTGCTTGCAGTAGTATTTTAAGTTCAAGAGCCTGGTAACCCAATTTTGAGACGTTACGGTAGCAAGAGGCCCCTGGAATACCATGCATTATGTTGATTATAAGCAGGAATAGAAAAGGTCAATAATGAAACTTGTGATTGAAAAATAAAGGCACCTAGGAGCCTCTTTCTAGTAATGGCTCCTCTTGCAAACCGTTGTATTTCCAAAATGGCGTGCTTTTGGTGAAGGAATGCTTTCTGGTATTTCAGGCTTCGAACTGCAGCTTGAATCCTTATAACAGCCTCTTTTTCAATGACCAGTTTTCTCCTTGTTAACCAGCCACGACAATGGCTCTGGCACAATGACATATCATGATAAAGTTGCATGAGATGCTAAATGCAATCCTTGTTAGAGTAATTCATGTAAGGGTAACCATAGAGGTTATCAATACAGAGGCCAGAAATGATACAACAATTGACTGTCTGCAAAGTCAGGACGGAATAGCAGCAAGAAGTGTGAAAACAAAGTATTGCAGTTCAACATTTTTGCCAAACTAAGGCAACAACGTTTAGAAATATAAACGTTATAAAATACACATCTTCTTAGATAAGCTTACAATGTTTCTGGTTTATCTATCTACATGTCTCCTCATGCTAACTGGTGCAAACACTCTATTTAAGCCTGAAGAAACACTAAGCCAATCCTCTAGGCTGATGATTCAACAATATATAGAAATATAATCTGCTCATGAAAGGAAATACTTAAATTTCTGCATTTTGACTAGGAGTCACAAACATTTGGAACCCTGCACCTTATGTGATTGATGATTTCTGAAGGATGCAGGATACAACTATCAGAAAATACAAGGCAAATGCATGAAAAATAGAAGCTACACCACCTAATTCTTTTGACCATATGTTGACCTCAACAGAATGTACTTCAAATTGAGTGACTTAAGAAGCCTGAAGCACCAATTAAAAGGTGTACTCAAGTACAATGTATGGCAGGTCAATATCGATCCAATCACAGAAGTAAAGAAAAATGAATCAATCTATCTATGCTTAAGCCTTTAATATTTCAAGAAATATTTACCTGAATCAAAATAATTTGAGATTTATGCCTATAAACATCTCTTTTAGCAATACATTTGCGGATATAAGCCTGGATTGTAATCACTGACAGAGTTTCCTGTTTGTAGGAATGAAAATCCCTCAAACATCTTGCAGATCGGAAAATACTCTGTATTTTTACTGCTGCTTGCTTCTGATCCACAAAATTCTTTCTCATCAACCATCCACGATAGTAACTTTGAATTTTAGTTGCTGCAAAGTGATGACTGTGTAGAGAACTGCTTAATTTATATTCCTTTGAAGCACATTGGGTTGCTACCGCAGCATTTATTTGACAAATATTATCTTCACATTCCTTAGGAACTTCGTGAAATTGTTCTGTGTTTACAAGACAAGACCTCGCTATCCACCCACGAATACACTTTTGTATGACAATGGCAGCATCAATGAATCTTGGAGTGGACAAATCTTGTGGCAACGAGTTTCCCGTTACATGTTTTCGAGAAATCCAGTCTCTTGAGGCACGCTGGATGATTATTACAGATCTTTTCAACTTAAGAAAAGCATGTCTATCAATCACAAAGGCTGCGTGTTTTTCAAAATTTGCTGAACGGCTCCTTGTACCTGTTCATTTTGTATCAATACAGTAAATGATTAAAATTCTAACATCTAGTACTGAGCAAAAGGGGGAAAAAAAGAAGCATATACCACATAGTGATGCTAGATACGCCGGAGAACCAAAGAATTGAATTGATGGTTCCTTCTTTACCCACAGCCATGCTTGTATTGCAGCTTGCAAGATATAAACCGCATTCTTAATCCTCAAATATTTACGTTGCTGCACTGACTGTCTGAAAAGTGACTGTATTACTTTTGCAGCATTTCCTGAAACAATGAAACAAACATCTTTCAGCTGGCTTGAGGGCCGGAAAAACTTTACTCGAAGCATAATTTCAAATTTTCATCCTCAGATGACAAAGCAAAGAATGATGATAGATAAGAGTGACATCTACATCAAAGTTGTTATATACAAGAAGAATAGCTATCTAAGGGAATATTGATGTGCCCCCAAAATTGGTTACAGCAAAAGATTTACACACTAGTAGATAGTTGTCAGATGTAGAAGTTGCTAACATCGCATCAAACCTATCGCAGCCCAAGTGCCAACAGCATTTAACTCAATTTATAATGGATTGAAGGACTAAACATTGCAGAGAAAGTCTAAAATGTCGTGGATGATTACCTTTATGAGTATCATTTCTCCCTCTTAAAATGAAAGACCGCTTTGGACCGCTAGAAGTTTCCTTAGAAAAGCATTTGTTATTTTGTTGAGCCATCTCTTGCCACCAAGCCATTACAGCCTTAAAATTTCTGGCAGCATCTGTATCATCAAAAAGGTCATAAAGATCATGAAATTAAATTAATTCAAACGGATGTCGATGACATAAATATAGAGCTGTTACAAAGGAGAGACGCCTTCATGCGAAGAGGGATCACCTCTACCCAAAATTATTTCCATAAAGAAGTGGGAACCTTTTTCATAAAATTCAAATTCATTGAAAATAGGAAATTAAAACTTAAAAAGTTTTATTCTAACCAACTTTGATGAAACTAGAAGAATATAAATATGATGGAAAACAAAAATTTCTTCAGTGTTGACAACTTTATGGTTCCAAGAAAAGGGTTCTGCAGTATGGCTATCAATCAAAACTATGCTCTCTGCAATTTATATAAACAGTGTCTGCAGTGCTCACTACCATTTGGTGTTGTGGAAAGATTTTTGCTGCATGGTGTTATCTAAAACTTTTTTTTGCAAGTACCAGGTAACTTTGTCCACCAAGGCTAGGACACGGGATACCTACCACCTCCCACCACCAACAGGTACCAACGTACCAAGTAACTTTGTCCACCAAGGATAGGACAGATGGGAAGAATCACCTAGTGTTTTTTGTCTCCGCTGAGTTTTGAATTTGAGACATCAGGGTTCTCAACCACTTCATTGACCACTAGGCCACACCCTTGGGTGTTGTGTTATCCAAAAATTTACTTCCTCTAGTTCATATAAACAGCTATATTAATGAATGTTTCAAGTCATTTGTTGGCCAAACATATGAAATAAATAAACAATAAACTTTCTAAAACTAAAATCCCTCTAAAGAACCATCAGAGACCTTCACCATCCTTCCAATGTGTTTGTTCTTTATCTACAGCTGCTTTGGGATGCATAAACCACTGATCTGTGCTTAACCGTCTCCTTTCGGGACTTTGACAATTAAATCCCAATAACTTGTGGAAGTTTAATTGATCCTGTTAAAAGACATCAATGGTCATGACTTTCCTAAATGAAGACTGACACTAGTTTGTTGCATATAATCTACAATGAATAATTACCTTGTTTCGTTTTACTAGTAGTTGATACGAGAGAAACACCAAGAGAATAATGACACTCTGACCATTGCATGCACCGTTTGTTTCCAGTATATCACTGACTTGTATTACCTGCAGAAATACATTTTTAACTTGCAATCATACAATTTTCTTCCCACGAGTATAGAATTGGATTATTCCTGCCACCCCGAAATGAATTACGATGTTTAGCTTGACATGGTTTTACTTAATCGACACACTAAAATAAAATAACTACGAAAATCATTTTGGTCAAATGAATTATTCTGATTGCATAATATGCAGTAAAACTTAACTTTCCTAGTAGAAACGACCAAAAGGGAATGATGGACATGGAATTGGGACTGAAGGATTTGACAAAAAAGGTAGATCATTAAGTGAACAACAATACCAAATTCATAGAATTGCATAAATGGTATTGTGACCTCCAGAAGGTAATGTATTTAAAAGCATTAAGGTATCAGACAAATGGTTTCATCCACTTTTGAAATGAATCCCAAAAAAATTGGTTAAGGTCAGGACAGGGTCATTTCTACAAATTGACTCTCTTTCTCAGTTCAACAGATAGTTTCAACAAAAGACTAGAGAACATAGAAAGGGATAAACGCTCATATGAAGTATGTACAGTGTCATATCCAGTCACTAGGAACATCGATTAATAAGGAGGAATGCACTTCTGGCACGAAAAGACTAAGAGGGCAACTACCAGCAAACTTCCATTTTCAGATATTGTATCTGCATTACTGCATAGGTAAACTACATAATGGTTGTTTTGCATAGGCTTGGCTCCCCTAACAAGCTGTGGAGTGTGTAGTAGTAGAAAATCCTTGCTTGCCTCAATTTTTTAGGAGCAAATGCTTGCAATACATGAAACTTTACAAGCAAATGCTTGCAACACACTGCTACTTGAGATATCCCGGAAAATATAACAATTGTTTGAGCCACAGTTAATGTTTAGTCACAATAGAAGCCCTTTTAACATATAATTTGCCTGGCAAAGAAGAATGTATGTTGTTTTGATTAGAAGGTACTTCATTCAGATTAATATGTGAGTGCAGAAGCCATGTAAATAGTTTGAAACACTTATAGGACAAACAAGAAATCTGGCATATTCATACTATGTAAAAAAATCAAGTACTCGTAGTACAACAACAACAACAACATACCCAGTGAAATCCCACAAAGTGGGGTCTGGGGAGGGTAAAGTGTACGCAGACCTTACCACTACCTCGTGAAGGTAGAGAGGCTGTTTCCGGAGGACCCTCGGCTTAAGTACATCCAAACCAAGTAAAAGAAGAGGAAACAAAATATAAAACATAACATCCAATAAGAAAAATAGTGCATAATCAACAACGGAGACAATAACATCAAGAAAATACTGTGAGAGGTGAAACGCAGTAAACAACATATGGCTATAGGATCACAGACAAGAACTACAAGTGCCAGGCTAGGACTACTACAAACGCTACCAACTCATACCCTCGCAAGGAAAGACAACACGCTAACCCTACTAACCTTCAACCTTAATACGCGACCTCCACTCCTTTCTATCTAGAGTCATGTCCTCGGTAATGTGAAGCTGAGCCAAGTCCTGTCTAATCACCTCTCCCCAATACTTCTTAAGCCTACCTCTACCCCTCCGCATACCCTCTACAACCAGCCCCTCGCACCTCCTCACTGGGGCGTCTGCGCACCGTCTCTTCACATGCCCAAACCATCTCAGTCTCGCTTCCCTCAGCTTGTCCACCACAGAGGCCACTCCCACCTTCTCCCGGATAACCTCATTCCTAATCTTATCGCTCCTAGTGTTCCCACACATCCATCTCAACATCCTCATCTCCGCAACATGCATTTTTTGAACATGTGAGTTCTTGACTGGCCAACACTCTGCTCCATACAACAAGACCGGTCTAACTACCACTCTGTAGAACTTACCTTTAAGTTTATGTGGAACTTTCTAATCACACAAGACTCCAGAGGCAAGCCTCCATTTCATCCAAGCAGCCCCAATGCGATGTGTGACATCATCGACAATGTCACCACTTCCTTGGATTACAGCCCCAAGATACTTAGAACTTTCTTTCTTAAGAATGATCTGTGTGTCAAGTCTCACTTCCCCATCTGCCTCATCCAACGCATCACTGAATTTGCACCCCAAATATTCCGTTTTGGTCCTACTCAACCTGAACCCTTTGGACTCCAGCGTTTGTCTCCACACCTCCAGCCTCGTATTAACTCTGTCCCGCGTCTCATCAATCAGTACTATGTCATCCGCAAATAACATACACCATGGGACCTTCTCCTGAATTGACCGCGTCAACTCATCCATCACCAAAGCAAATAGAAAAAGGCTAAGGATTGATCCCTGATGAAGCCCCATCTCAACTGGGAAATGTTCTGAGTCTCCTCCAACCGTTCTAACCCGAGTCTTGGCTCCACCGTACATTCCTTTATCGCCCTATTATAAATCATCGGGACACCTTTAGCCTCCAAGCACCTCCAGAGGACATTCCTCGGTACTTTGTCATAGGCCTTTTCAAGGTCAATGAACACCATATGTAGGTCTCTCTTCCTTTCTCTATATTTTTCTACCAGTCTTCGCATAAGATGAATGGTTTCGGTAGTCGATCGTCCCAGCATGAATCCAAACTGATTCTCAGAAATGGACACCCCTCTTCTCACCCTCATCTCCACCACTCTTTCCCAAATCTTCATAGTATGGCTTAGCAATTTGATACCCCTGTAGTTGTTACAGTTTTGGATATCACCTTTGTTTTTATACAACAGAACCATTGTACTCCACCTCCATTCATCAGGCATCTTTGCTGTCTTAAAAATAACATTAAACAGCCCAGTTAACCACTCTATACCTGCCTTGTCCGTGCTTTTCCAAAATTCCACCGGAATCTCATCGGGTCCGGTCACTCTTCCCCTGCTCATCTTACTAATAGCACGTATAATCTCCTCGATCCTAAAACACCTACAGTACCCAAAGTCCCGAAGTCTTTCAGAGTGCGCCAAATCACCCAACACAATGTCTCCGTCCCCTTCTTCATTTAAAAGTTTGTGAAAGTATTTTCGCCATCTTTGTTTGATGGAGGTCTCTTCCACTAATACTTTGCCTTCCTCATCCTTGATACACTTCACTTGGTCCACGTCGCGAGCCTTCCTCTCTCTTGCTTTTGCGAGCCTAGACAATTTCTTATCCCCACCTTTGTCCCCCAGCTCGACATACAAGCGTTCGAAAGTTGCCGTCTTAGCCTTCGTAACAGCTAACTTAGCTTCTGTCTTTGTCGTCTTATAAACCTTCTTAAGCGTCCGCTTCTCTTCCTCATCTACGCACTCCACCAACTTTGTGTATGCCGCCTTCTTTGCTTCCACTATGCCTTGGACTTCCCCATTCCACCACCAATCTCCTTTATGGCCTTCAAAGTTACCCCTTGATACCCCCAACACCTTTGAAGCAACTTCCCTAATGCAACTAGCTGCTTTATTCCACATGGTGTCCGCATCCTCACTACCACTCCAAGCCCCCATCCCAGTCAACTTCTCGCCCATCTCCCGAGAAAGGGTAGGGGTCAAGCCACCCCATTTAATCCTCGGTCGATCAAAAACAACCTTCTTCTTCCTACCTCTCTTAATTTCCAAGTCCATTATTCTTATTTGAAGGGGGAAACTTCATCCTCAGAAAACAACACTTGGAGCAGCATCGCGTTGAAAAACTCAGAATTATTTGCTAATTGTTTTAATAAGATGATAACAGAATTATAGATCGTTCAATCCTTACAGACTTATAACAGAATTACGACAGAATTATATATATATATATATATATATATTCACCTCTGGAAACTTCCCCAATAGCAATGGCAGCTTTTGAGATAGAATAAAATTGTGCACTGCATCTGTGTAATCAACTGCAGATACTATGGAAACTTCTTCTTTTGTTTCACAGAGTGCCTGTAATATCATCACAAAATGGTATTGAGCTGCAAAATTGTATTAGTAGAATTTTAAACAATGATACATTCATGGGATAACATTCAAGCACCTGACAAGAGCAGGAACAGCGGTGGTCCTTGCGGAAATAATAATCAAGCAAGCACCACATAGCTTTTCCATCAACCAATGATGAAAAATTTTCGACCTCGAGATCATAACTTCCACAAATTGCCTGAAACATTCAGTGATCACGTTCATATGCAGAATCCAAACCCTCATCATACAGGAAGCAATAATATTCTAATGAGTCTACTACTTTACGAGTATTAGGGTGTTCCACAGTGGAAGCTACACACTCTGCAGCCAAGGTTATTTGAAAACTAAGTGTGAGTGTTACTACCGCCTCCAGAAATACTGGAAATATGGTATTTAGACTGAGGGGTTAACGTGTCAAACAATCCAAATAATTGGAGTTTACTACATTTTGATTAATCAGAGGCATATTCACCATTAAATCCTGTATGTTCCCTTTGCATCACAGTTGAAGAGCTATGTTTTCCAGAAAGGAGACAAAAGGATAATCCAAGAGAGTAGTGCATTCAAAATGCCTGTATAGAATCACACCCCGAATGAATTGAATTTATTTCATCTACGTCAACTAATCAACCTTTAAGCATCACTAAACCATATGTGAAATAATCAGAGTTCAGATCACCAAGTAACAATATACTGAAAGAATGGGAAAGCATCATCACAAAACCAAGTGAGAATGATACTAGGATCACCACAGGGTTGATTTAAAGAAAATAATACTGCCACTGTCACAGAGTATTAAATTACAACAATACCTGGATCCAACTCAGGAGCATGTCCAAGTGAGTGCAGCCATTTGAGTTTTGCTGTAAAGGAAAAGATAAAAAGCATTACCTAATTTGAATCGCTTATAAAAGAGGACTTTCAGTGTGTGAATATAAAGTAATCACTCTTTTAGACACAATGAGCATTAACACATAGACTAACAGTATTGCAAACTAGAGGTTCAGATTTCCTATTTTACCCAATTTACACCACTACTACTCACATTATAGACTTATTAAGTTCTTAAAAGACATTTTGATTTCAACCAGAACCTTTCTATGTGAGTGTTTTTTATCTGGAAAGTAGATGAAAATAATAACTACAGTCCAAACTGAGCATACCTTAACAACTCCTCGGATTTTAAAAATCTCCTCAGACAAAAGTGATTTGTTGATTAGAAGTGGCAACTGCAGAATGTACAGAATATATCGTGAGAATATAAAAGGAGTAAAGGACTACAAAATTCAACTTCCAGTGATTTGGTCTCATAATTCCTGCAGCTAACAACAGATTTATAATAGTAAGGAAACTGGAACAACTGAGTAAACTGAGTAAACTGAGAAAGGATTTATTGCATAACTAAATATTTTTTAATACAAAAGCACCAGGTAATAGATCATAACTCGTTATAATTATGGTTAGATTTTTTAGCTTGTAATGACATAGATGGAATAATTACTAGGAATACTACATTTTACCTGCAAGTGCACGAACATGTTCCAGAGCAATGAAATGGTGAGCTCCTTGTCTCCATCAACTATGTCTTCTGCCATAATTATAGTTCCATCTTGATCAAAAAATGGTACACCTGCCTCCTGGAGATATTTTAGAACAGTGCCACAGTTCGCCAAACTCTTCTTGCGAGTATCTGAGGGGACAACCATTTTCTGACATAGAACAGAAAAACAAGACTTATGTTACCAATCAAGAGAAATAGCTATACACTTCGTGACAACTCTATTTTTAATTTATTCTTTAATGTAATTTATATAGCTATTCACTTCATGCCAATATTTTGCTAAAAAGAATCAAACTAGAATATAAGAAAGGAGAAGAGAGAAAAACAATTGTTCATAAGCTAACCGAGAGGATAGAAGGATCATGTCGCAAGAGCTGAATGACTCTGCAAAGTTGAATGCCATCTTGAAGGTCCTCAAATAAATCAGCCACACCAAATTGATACTCAAGCAACGGATTCTGCACCAGGAAATATCAATTGTCACAATAAAAACCTATAAAGAAACACATATGAATGATGTCAAACATGCAGTAAAAAAATTTTTTTTGTTTGATCATTGATGGGGATCAAACATGCAGTAAAAGTAAACAAAAGACAAGAGACAATCTGGTATCCAAGAGAAAACCTGCTTGACAAGGAATCTATTTTGTCCAAATTAGACAAGAGACGACCCTGTAACCAGAAAAACTCAACCATGTAGTAAAAGCATATGCACTATCAAACTCAGTTCATTAATCAACATGCTTACCTGTTGATATGTCACTTTATAGCCTACGATGACAAGATGCGCAAGTAGATTACCTTCACCATGCATCACATCCGATGGCAAGAATTCTAACATGTATTTAAGTCATAGAAATGTTAATTCGTGAGTTAAAATAAAAAGGAGTAAACAAGCTACTCAAGAAGAATTATGAAGAGTAAACAGGTAATTACTGTTGATCAGTTGACGGCTAGATTTAACATCTGATTGCAAAGAGAAAAGTAAAGGAGATCCTCCATCTAGTCCATCAATACCATATTTAAGTGGCAGACTACTCTGAGTTTTGACTCTATCTAGTATGAGAACAAGCAGCAAAAATCTCTTCAGAACTATGTTGCCTAACTTTTCATAGTAACCAGGTCTATATAAACCCTCCACTAACTTGTTATAAGCATAGGTCTTTGCTAGACCAACATGTGAGAAAAATTGTCTCTCAAGCACCATCTTCAAGAAAGCAATTTCTTGCTCAGAATTGACATCTCCATTCGGTAATAAGGTGTCACCCCCCAAGAGTATGTGCAATCCAATCCGAAGCCAAGTGGGGTTATAACACATCAGGATTCTCAAGGCTTTCTCCTTCATTCCAGCATCAGTTACCATGGGACAGTGAGCTCTCATTTTCAGCCGTCCTTCATCAATGGTCTGAAAAAAGATAACCAAAACAGGAGAAACTTTAACTAACAACCATAATGCAAACCATAGTAAAGTAGCCATAAATTTTACCCTGTGATAACAACATCTTGGTTGAATCATCCAATTATTACCTAAGGCTTGCATTTGTTACAGTTTTCAGTTTTGCACTGTGTCTCAAAGGATTTTAGTTGGTGTCTAAAATCTTGATTCCAATATCTAACACATTATCATCTCCTTGAGTAAACATAGCAGAAGAGTACTTAAAAAGCATCATCAAATCAATCAATCAATTCTTCCATACTAGTTGGCATGGCTATATGAATTGTGTTGTCCCCTTTATTCCCTGTTGAAATAGAACCTTCAATATTTCTATTAGTTCTCTTTTTAGCCTATTTCATCCAATACTGATTAGTTTGCCTTCAAGGGGAATTAGGGCTCTTTGAGACTAGAGGTTCTAGCAGTTAGACTATTTTTTTAGCTTCAATCTCCATAAACCTCATCATCTGTTCAAACTTGAGACCAACCATACTTTGTGAAGGCAAAGTTTTCTGAAAGCATCTCATATTATTGTAATGTAGATTAAGCGCATTGTATAATCACTCCGCATAAAATGGATTTGTAAGGTGATTAAATGGCAAAATTAGCATCTCCATATGTCTAGTAAGAAAAAAGGACTAACCTTTGTTAGTTGAGTCATTGTAACAAAGACCTCTTTACAGCTTCCTAAGCTCAGGTAAGCACTCATTCTCTCCTTTAAATCATCAAAACTGCAAATCTCCATCAACGAATCTTTAAGTCCAGAAAACATGGAATCCGAAATAACTGTTGTCTCTTCATCTTCAGAATTCGACAACAAATGTCTCTGTCTCTTCGGCCCTCTCCATAACACATCAACTCCAACAGTGTACCCTGGCCCACTCTCCCTCTTCCCATTTTCCGCAATACACGTCCTATTGGACCTCTCAAATCCTCCAGTAAACCTCGTCACGTCACAGCCACAAGAGCTAGGATTTTCAAACAAGAAATTGAGCCACACAGTTAACGACTTCGCTAGTGATTTCAACGATCTCTCTTTGTCATTCAACGCCTTCCGTGCTGATTTCGACTGCTCGAGCTCGAACGCCTTTAATCTTCGAGCAGCACTCGACTTCACAGCCGATGGCTTTATGCTTCCACGGCGACGGACGGAGGATACTGGTGTGGTTTTCAAGGCAGTGAAGAATTCTGGATGTCGGTACGGAGAAGGAGAAGAAGAAATGAAATTTGTTTTCCGTGAATGCTTCGGAGTTTTGAAATTGGATATATCTTGGAGAAGAGAAGTAGAAGATGACGAAGAAAATGGAAGGTTCTGGAAGGGTGACGAGCATGAAGTTTGTGACGGTTTCTTTGGTTCCATTTTCCGGTCAAATTCCGATCTCTGTGAAGATTTGTCTGAAAGAGAAAAATGGTGAATTTTTTATGTTACCATTTCAATTTGAATGTGGAGACGGGCGGGGTTTTTATTAGTAGTAAAATTTTGAATTGTCCTCGGATTCTCGGGTCTCCGGCCCACTCCAAAAGGTAAGGAACCCAGAAAAGGAAAGAGGCTCCGAAAGTAAAAATATTTAGGGTATGTTTGGCACAAGTGTTTCCTATTTCTCATGTTCGATTGATCAAAATTTGTGAGAACTATTTATTTTCTTAAAATGAGTAAGATGATTTTTGGGATGACGGTGTGGAAAACAAGTTACATAAGTGATATTTCACATTGATAGTATCATCTTCATGTTCCAACACACATCATCTTCAACTTCACACTCTGTAGTCCCTCTTTATCTTCACATCCCATTAGTGGTGTGCATTCGATTTTTCAGTTTGATTTTGTACTATTTGGTTTGGATTTTTCAATGTTTTGTTTTGAAGAAGTGTAACCCAATTCGAACCAAAATAAATTTGATTCGGTTTGGTTTATCTTTTTTTCGATTTGGTTATTCGGTTATGAAATAATGAGAAACATAATCAAAGTTATAGTTACTATTTGAATATATATATATATATAACGTAAAACACAATATTTAAGCGTAAATCTATTATAGATGTCAAAACATAAATAACCAATCCAAATTAGAATTCGATTTGATTTAATTTGATTTTTCGATTTAATCCAAATAGTGCACACCCCTACATCTCATAATATTTGTCTAGATTATTTATAAATATTTTAAAGATAATATTTTTTGCATGCCTACCTAACACAACAAATAAATAAATAAAATACTTGTTTCCTGGAAAACAATTTCTAATAAAATATTATTCATGAAAAAAAAATGTATCACACTGGACACACCCTATACTTCTCATTAGAACTGTCAATATGGGCTGCCAACCTCATTCGGGCTAACCCACACAAGCTTTGAAATTTTATGGTCCAGGCCGGGCTAGCCCATTTCTGGTGTGGGCCAGAAAATGGTCGGTCCAACCCACAAGTATGTGGGCTACGGGCTTTGCCGGGCCAGCCTTCTTTTTTTGAAAGTAAATTTTTTATTATTTTTAAATTTAAATTTTATTATCATAAATATCGACAAGAGAATATTACATAGTGTTAGTGTTACTACTTGTTAATCAAATCAACAAATAAAATTATCTTTATAATATTTATTAAGTTTGATTTTAAGTAAAAACACAAATAGCTAAATATAAATATTAATCTAATTGTTTTCCAATGATCATAATAAAACATAGAAACTATGACAACATCCCTAGGTTACGACCTATGTAGTAATTCCCTATAAATTTTAGGAAATTTTTATTTTATATAGTACATATTTTATAAATATAATTTATATTTAAATTATAATATTTCAATCTTTTAATAGATTTTGAGTTTAGACTCTTGTTATTTTTAATACTCTATTTTAATTTTATTTTTTAATTCATTTTTATTTAGCACACAGGCCTGCCCTATCCATATTTCTCAAGCCCCACAAATCGACAGGCTTATTCAGGCCGGGCTTAAAAACCTTTTTCTTAAATGGGCTCAAAAAATCGTAGCCCAGCCCTATTAAATCACGGGTTAGGCCAGGCCGGCCCTACGGGCCTAGCCCATATTGGCGACTCTACTTCTCATAATTACTAAAAATATCTAGTCCCAAATACTTTATCATTTTACAAAAAATAAATTAGGATTAATTGTTATTTTTATTTTAATAGGTGTGTCAAGAGATAATTGTAGTGGAAGAAAAACTCTGATTAAGTTAAACAAAAAAACCTAATCGAACAAACATCTCTACCTTATCTACTAAATTTCATTATACATAAAAATAATTACATAATGTTTCACTCCTTCTCCTCCCCTTTCACTTATTCACTCTCCCCTTCCCAGCTCCCCTCCCTGTGTTTAAGGCATAATTGCACCAAACATTTGTCTCTATGCACATGTAGATATATTTAAGAAAAGACATAAAGTGACATCTAAACTTGTTTTGAATTTTCAAAAAGATACTTTAAATATGCGGACGTTCTATTACCCCACTAAACAATCTTGAACGAATATTATTACATCATTTTTTGTCAATCTAAAATAACTAATATAATTTTATTTTTACAAGTATTTTATTGTAAAATATATTTTCTTATTATTTTTACTTTTTTTCCTTTTTATTTTTTCTCTTTCTTTCTTCTTCAAAAATTCATTGTCATCTCCATTGAAGCTTTTCACTTTCAATATCACCATTTCTACCACAACTTACCTTCCTTTTTTTACTACTATTAGTTTTAATCTCTTTAATTTTAAAACTTTATCTGAATATTTTCTTACATTTCGAATAATTTGATAAACACATTAGATTTCGAGATGATTAGGAAGTATCATATAGTTTTTTTTAATCTGATTTCAATTAAGTTCTTTCAATTTTCGGGAAATTCATTGATTCTTTTAAAATTATTATATCTAATTTTGAAGGTACATGAAAATGAGTAATTGATGATACCTTCAAAAATTTAAATTTTCTTAGAAAAATAAATAGTTTTGTTTATCACTCATAAAATCTAGAAAATAGTATGAATTCTTTTTTATAAAAAATTACTGAAATAAAGAATTTGACTGGAGAAGAAAAAAAATGGGAGAGGGGTTCAACTTAACGTGGGAGGTGAAGAAAAAGAAAGAATAGGGTGGGATGGAACACTTGAAAGTGGAGGGTGAAAGATTAAGTGGAATTTAAGATGAAATCAAATTAAAATAAGTCAAAGAGAGAGAGAGAGAGAGAAAGAAAAAAATTAAAATGAAAAAAATTACATTTTTAATTAAATTAACACGTGTCATGTAATGATTGATGTGTGAACACACTTGCTTCGTAAAATTTGGGGATGATCGAAAAATTATATATAATATATGTTCAAAATTGTTTAGTGGGGTCATAAGACGGTTGCAATGTTAAGGTGTCTTTTTGAAAATTTGGGACAACTTCAATGGTGACTTTATATTTCTTTTTTTATAATTATATCTTCTTGATCATCTTTTTAAAAGTATTTGTTAGATATATTGGATACGTCACAAATTTGATATCATATGAGTTTATTTATGTATAAATACATTGGGTATATTAGTTCCTTTTCATAATTAATCTATAATTATGCACATACACAACATATACTATGTAAAGATACGTTATATACATCAATGTATTTTTATGATGGATACATGAAATTGATACTAGATACACAAGATGAGATTACATACACACAGATATATCATTGCATATTTGATATTGATACACATATACGTGAAATTATGACATATAAATAATTGTAAAATATAATTAAAGAGAAGTACAGGGACGAGAGAGGGAGCAAGAAAGGAGAGATAAGACATTTCACTAGATACAGTATATACACGCAAAGATAGTGTATCTAACGACAATTCGAATAAGACGCGTAATTAATAAAACTATTCATGTGTTGAGTAATTAGCATCGATACTAATGTACTTTATGAAAATTGCTCAAAAAATAAATAAGGATACTTTAGTTAATTAGTATATATATAGAATAGTGAAACATGACAATTAGATGGGTGAAGTATGCAAATACTTGCTTTTGGAATGATCATTTATATCCAATGGTCAATTATTATTGCAAGTTTATATTTGTCTGAAAATGTCATTGTGAAGGTCAAACATCATACATTTTGCTTGAAGATTGGTATGCTTGTCAAGGTCAACTTCAAATATTTTCTTTTTACTGGAGTTGTGAATTTGATAAAGGCATATTTAGCCCTTTTTTTAATTGAAGTTATGGCCTTGACAAAACACGAGATATATAATAGCTTGTCAATGGCAATTTCAGTGAAGTTTATGACCTCGAAAAATTTAACTTCGTACATTCTTTTATCAAAGTTATGTCTTTGCATGGTCAAATTTCATTTTCTTTGGCGCAAAATCGTCAAATCATATATTTGCCCTAACTATAGACATATATGATTGAAAGTCAAAATAAAATAAAATGAAGTTGTGAATCACAACACATAGATCCAACCACTATAGTTGTTCCTTCCCTAAAATAGAAAAAAAAATAAGAAAAACATTTCAACTAGAAATAAAATTAGTGAACAGTTTGATGTACTAAAGTTCTCTCTATATGCAAAATTTGAAAAAGAGTTTTGAATTGTAAGGGTTTACTTTACACATGCTTACTCCATATTTATGCCAGAGTCTGTTTCCATGATATGAACTCGTGAACTCTTGATCACATGACAACAACTTTACCAGTTATTCAAATGTTTTCCTCTCAATAACTTTATCAATTATTCCAACGTTCCCCTTTCGATAACTTTATTAGTTATTCCAACGTTCTACCTTCCGATAACTTCACAAGTTACTTAAACATTTCCCTTCTAATAACTTTCCTAGATCCTGCAACTGTTACACTTTTGATAACTTTAACAGTTACTTCAATGTTCCCCGTCCAACAACTTTATCAATTACTCCAACACTCTCATTCCAATAACTTTACGAATTACTTCAATGCTCTCCTCCCATTAACTTTATCAAGTACTCCAACGCTTTCCTTCCAATAACTTTATCAGTTGCTCCAACGTTCTCCCTTTCGATAACTTCACAAGTTACTTAAACATTCCCTTCTGATAACTTTACCAGATACTACAACTGTTCCATTTCTGATAACTTTAATGGTTACTTCAACATTTCCCTTCCAATAACTTTATCAATTACTCCAACACTCTCATACCAATAACTTTATCAATTACTCCAATTCTCTCCCCCCAATAACTTTATCAATGTCTCGGACGCTCTCCCTCTGACTAGAAATAAAATAATTTCAAGAATAGATAAGAGGTACTCCACAATATTCCTAATATAAACAATACACTAGCAATACTAATACTAAAGTAGATTGAAACTCAAAAATCATCGAATTTCCTCTTTTAAAAGTAACTCAAAAACAACAAAATCCAACAACTGACGCGCCTCTGACATCAATACTATTCTCGCAAACAATCTCATTGGCCTCTGCTCGTCACCGGATAATCTAATTGGTCCGTGACTAATACGCGCTTATAACCTCATAGACAATAGCCCCCTCAAAGAAACAAGATTAGAATCCTATAAAAGAATTTATTGTTCCCTTTGCCATTCATCTTTGATTTCCTCTAGCTAAATAAAATCCGATCACATACATATATATACATATTATATGCATGTGAGTGTGTATATGTATTAGAAATCCTCGAATTGATCAATTTTCAGATAACCAAGAGGCTTTATCAGTCGGGTTGTTAGGGATTTCTGGGAAGTTTTGTTTTGGGGAAAGTTTGATTTGGCTGAATGGCACAAGCTGTGGAAGAATGGTACAAGCAGATGCCGATAATCACCCGTTCCTATCTCACTGCTGCAATCATCACCACAATCGGTTGTTCTCTGGAGGTATGGATATGATTCATCTTAAGGAAAAGCAGTAGACTTTCAAGATTGATTTTTTAAAATGTTTTCGTATGGATTTGAGGATTTCTATATCTGGGTAGGTTTTTTTTTTTTTTTTGAGATATCGATGATAAAAATTGAGGGTTGTTTGTATGTTGATTGTTTTTTTAGTGGGGGTTGTAATTTGGGATGTTGAGATGAACCTTGATTAATGGATACAGGGGTTTCATATAGCTAACCCTAATTAATTTGGGATTGGGGTATAGTTGATTGATTGTTGTAATTGGGATGTTGAAATGGACCTGAATTGAGAAGAATGGATTTACATGTCGTATAGCTGGCCCTAACTAGTTTAGGATTGAAACTTGCACAGGATGATTGTTAACCGTATCTATGTATCTACGTTTAACACTTGCAGGTGCCACGGCACCTGATGGTTTTGATTGGAACTATGTTTATATACGTGTATATCCATATTTATGTATAAGGATTTGTATAAATATAAATCGTGGCACCCAGAGCAACAATGGAGCTCATGGTACCAGTGGTCAAAGCTCAGCTTTTCCTCCCTAGGGACGCAAGTTCGAATCAGGCTGAGTTTATTTTATAAAACTATTTTAGCATGCCGGAATCATTGTTAAAAAAGTTGTAAAGTTATGGTTATCTAGATTAGAACGTTTGACCTCGTATAACTAAAATCTTAACTACACCAAGTAGACTAGAGTATATCTTGTACAAAATTACGCTGATGAATAATAATTATTTGTTTCCTCTATGAATATTGCCACCACTTTCGCAAAACATTTCATACGTTACGCGACAAAGTAGTGTGGCACCCGAAGCTTCCAGATCTTATTTTACTCTTTTCCTTAACCTTTTTATAGTAGCTCTACCCCGTACCCTACTTTTCTTGTAGGTTTATCATTCAAATTGTTGATGTGTGATTGACAAAGAACATTGCAGTCTATCCAAATGTAATATTAATTAAAACAATACGATACAATGCAACACAACACGATACGATACATTATGAAACAATATGTAACAATCATCCACATATAGTGTTGGTTGACTGATTGATTGTATTTTGTGTGGGTTGCAGATTATATCTCCTTATAAGTTGTACCTGAACCCCAAGTTAGTGGTGAAGCAATACCAGGTGTGGCGCCTGGTTACAAATTTTCTCTACTTCCGGAAGATGGGTAATTTCTCTTCTCCCAGCAGTTAGCTTCGTTTTCTGAAAAGTTTTTTTCCTCCTTTTAGTTTAGAGAGGATGAGCGTCTTAATGAGGCATAACTTTAATTGAACAGCCATGAATCTTTTAAGGCTTTAATGGCTAGGCTCTTTTGTTCAATAGCTATCGTGGATAAATACAGGATTCAGCCAGTACTTTGTAGTCTGACTGATTGTTTTGTAGCACTTCTGTTCAATACACTCTGCTCTCATTATGGTTAATGCTATAGCAACTCTTGCCAATGGTCATTGGAATTGTAATATGTTTGTAGAAGTCAATTCCTGATATTCACTTCTTTCTGATCTTGGAAAAAGATATTTCACCCACAGTGAGATGAAGTTGGGTACAAAAAAATGTGAGAGAAGTGGAAGACACAAGTCACAGAAATGAATTTTGTAGTTCTTAACAGTATGGTAGATTAAATCCAAAATGGAAACTAAGCTCATTCTGCTAATCAGCCCTACAAGTTTTCCTTTTAATCATGTATTTTTATTTGTGAGTGCATCTGAGGTTATGAGATGAAGGCAGAGTCGCTTGTTTGGAGGAATACATCAACATGAGAAGACACTTTCTCTTTCTTTTTCTACGTTATTCTGATATCTTTTTTCTTAATGTTTTCAGACTTGGACTTTCTGTTTCACATGTTTTTCCTAGCTCGGTACTGCAAGCTTCTAGAAGAGAACTCCTTCAGGGGAAGGACGGCAGATTTCTTCTACATGCTCTTGTTTGGTGCCACTGTTTTAACAGGAATTGTTCTTGTCGGGGGGATGATACCGTATGTCTCAGAGTCATTTGCAAAGATCATATTCCTGAGCAATTCATTGACTTTTATGATGGTTAGCTCCTCTGCAGTATAACTCCATTTCTTACTCGGCTTTTGTTTTCTGTCTTGGCCTTTCTTTTTTCATCATTCTGCTTCCTTCTATATGTAGGTTTATGTATGGAGCAAGCAAAATCCGTTTATCCACATGAGCTTTTTGGGTCTGTTTACTTTCACCGCAGCTTACCTCCCATGGGTTAGTGTTTATACTTAATCCATCATAATTTGCTTCACAAATCATTAGCTTTTAACTTTAAGAGCTGCCTCACCCGTGGTTTGTCCCCTTGCATCTTTATGTTTCTTCTGCTAGATATGACATTATCAATTTGCCACTTCTTTAATGCAATCCGTCATTTATGAACAATCCTTACAAGTTGTGGCTTGTTACTCATCTAAGTACCTAATCTCTAACTTTTGATACATAGTGGGGATGAGTTTAAATATTTGGAATTTGCCTTTAAAGGTATTATTTTCAAGTAGACAAATCAGTGATCATAGACTCTGTTTAAAGAAGACTTCATTGGTTCTTCTTCCAAAAAAAAAAAAGACTTCATAGGTTATGCTATATGTGAGCTATCAAACCTGAAGGGCTACAGCAGATCCATTACTCAAATATTTTTCCTGTTCATTCCTATTCAATGGGCTGGAGATTTGGGGTGGGTAGAGCATCACCTGGGTCCAGGAAAGCTTTTCCTGTGCGCCAGGTTTCTTTTTCATTTTGTTTTGGATTTATGCAATCTTAGGTGGTGTTTTGCATTCAAGATGATGAACCTTGCAGTATGTTGATTTTGAAAATCACTCCCTTCTTTATTATGTGAACAAGGGGTTATTTGCAGAGCCATGCTTTTATGTAGTCTTTTATGTTTCCAGTTTTTAGGATCTATTTGGCTAGAAACCCTTTCTGTAACCTAGTTATGGAGTTCTTCACCAAAATAGTCTTGGCAAGAAAGACGCAGTGAGAAATCCAATAACTTATTTGCCCCTTACATATAGCTCAGCCAATAGTGTGTATCCAAGCACCCGGATATTTGGCAGTGATGTTCTTTTTTGGGAGAACTACTGAAAGAACATTGAATATAAATAGAAACACATTCTTGAATTAGAATAGAATTAGGAATCCAGGAAATTAATATTTACATGGGTCACAATCTTTTTCATATTTTGTTTCTTGAAGTGGAAAACTACTTGTAGTTTTGCTTCAATGAAGTTTGTTGTTTATGTTTGTGGTGGATAACCTCATCACACTTCTTTCTCCTTGTTGCAGGTTCTTTTGGGGTTCTCTGTGCTTGTTGGCGCCAGTGCTTGGGGGGATCTACTGGTACGCTTCTGGTGACTCATGTGCTTTTATTAGGTTTTACTTGTTTCATGCCTACTATATGAGACTCTTAAGAGTTTTAGTTAAATGGTTTTTGCTCCTGCTTGAGCCTTCCTGTTGGATATCTTGCCTGAATCTTTGATAAAAGTTCTGGTAGCCAGGATTTTCTTACTTATTTTCATTTAGTGAGAGAGATTTCTCTTCTTTTCTTCTTTCCCCAACTACAAAGATGTGTCGATGCCTTCACCAACCAGCCATATTTATGTTTTCTAATGAGGATTTTGTCCAAGGTGATAAACCCCGAAAACTGGATGCTGATCTGTAGTATAGTGGTAAAAAAGTTCTTGTTTGTAAAAGAAGATATGGATTCTTGCACATCTATCTTTCACTAGTTTCCTTTTGTTGTCACAATGTATTGTTAAGCTTTTCTGTGTAGACCTTTCTACCTGCACTGGTGCCTGTTGTTTTTATGCCAGCACTCAGTTACCTTGCATTTTAAAATTCCTTTTGTGGGGTTTGAATATTCCAATTTCCTTTCATTGAACTTTATGTGTGCATTTGATACGAAGGAAAATGTTTTTCATGCAGAATTTTTTCTTGTAAAATGTTTTCCTAAAAAATAAGATAAGTGGATTTTTACTTATTTTCTGGTGTTTGATGAGTAAGCAGAAAATAGTTTATATAATCTAGACAAACACTCTAGGGGTGGGTTAGAAGGTAGAAGTGTGGGGGATGAGGGTGGAAGTAGTGTGTGTTGGAGGGTGGGGTGAAACGATTATGTGGAATGCCACTTATGGAACTTGCGACTTATGTTAGGGAAGTCATTTTCCTCATTTTTAAGGAAACTTATATTTTCTAGAGAGAATACTTTTCAAAAACTTTGACAACCAAATATGAGAATTGTAAAATATTTTCAGGAAAATGTTTTCCTCCTACCAAACACACCACACCCTATACCATGCAATGTTGGTGCTATATACTGAAAGTGAACTTTCATGTTTCAGGGAATGATTGCAGGCCATGCTTATTATTTCCTAGAAGGCGTCTATCCGCGAATGACTGGTCGTAGACCCCTGAAAACACCAGCAGTTATCAAAGCATTGTTTGCTGACGAGCCAGTAGTGGTGGCTCGACCTGCTAATGTTCGCTTCGCTGCTCCTCCTGTTGATGAAGTTCCACCAAATCAATGAGATAATTTTATAAGTAAACCATTGGCTCTGTCTTCAGTTCCTGTAAATTGACCTTAGATATTTGGTTGGAGGGAATCAGGGTTGGTCTTGTTGATGATGATTGTGCTAGTTACTATCCGTCTTCATTCCTTGTCAAATTGTTGGTGTATTTCTTACGCTGGGCAACTTGGGTTTGAAGATGCTTTTTGTAATTTAGATCTGGAACTGGAGAAGTGCTGTGCTGGCTGGTAGAGAAAATTCGCCTATATGAAGTGTTTTTTCTCTGTTATAAGTCTTAGAATTCAATTGTTTGGTGTTGTTTCTCCTTCCCTTAGAAGCCAATTGCTGATTTTTGGTATTAGAGGTGTGCATTATTGAGACTCAAAGAAAAACTGGTTGAACTGAAATTTTCAACTCCAGTTTTGGAGTATGTCATGCATCAACTTGGGGGAAAACCAGATTTTAAAGGACAAAGAAAACCTACCTCGTCTATGTAGGTCGTATACATGCAGTCCAGTACATATATGTGTGTGCATTGGCGTTTAATGAGGATTGTTGTGTAACCTCAATTATATAAAAAAAAATTAAGCTGTAATGCAGGCAGCAACAAGGGTTTCCGAGAACTAGAAAATGAAAAATGTTTTCTATAATCAGTTCGCCATATTTTGTTACGAATCAATTTTGCCATATTAGAAAACCAAAGCTGTGTTATTGTTGCCGTTAATTGGAAATAACTCTGTGCCCCCAGTGCTTCGAGTGAGTAGTACAAGCAGCATCGTGTGATATGTCGATTAGCGAGTAAGCCTGTTACCCACCCAGATTTTGAACCATCTGTAACTGAATCTTTAAAATTACTGGGTTCTATAAAGTAAAATTACTAGAACAAACTCACCAAACAAAGGACATCAGTCATTGCAGTAAAGGAGATCTAGAACATCATAGTTACAATATGGCCAGTACAATGGCGAAAACTGAGATTACCCTCTGCATCATTACATCATGACTAGGATATTTTTCACAAACGTGGGGAACAATTATTCGTCTCATGCTTCACGCTACAACCACAGAAACAATATAATGTAAGAAAAACAGCTTAACCTCTGTTTAACAACTGCGAAAAAAGTGTTGAATCTTTGGCCTTTCCACAGAATTATTGCAACTGAATATCTTTTTTGCAGTTTCACTTTTCCTGAAGAACTCCAGTTAGCTTCTGCAACAGCAACCATGGGAACGTGTATGACTGACGATAAAATTCTGCTGCAGCTAACTGATTGGGTGGTATTGTGCAGACACTCTTTTTGGAGGCAATTTTCGCAGGATGTAGAGCACAAGAGCTGAAGGAAGAATTTCTACTAGCTGCCACAGAGAAGAATGTGATCACTCAGACAAAGTAGTAAATGTAAGCAACATGGAATAACGAAAATGATACATACCAGGTAGTATATCAGATTCAAAACAGGATGGTCCAAGACTTCAAGAGATGCGTCAGAATCAAAAGCAGATAACACAACCTGCAGCGAACCAGATTAGACATAGCAAAGAAGCTCATGTGCATGAGAGTTGGAGATTTGAGGCCGGTTTAGCTTTACTTTAAACCTGATATACTTTCTCTTTTTTTTATCATGTTCCTATTCTCTAGTCTACCTTTTTCTATTATTTGTTCCCAGGAGTAGTTATGGTTTGACTGAAGCCTGAAGGAAGGCATGAGTTGCAACCCTTTATTTCATAAAGATAGCCTCAATGTTTTCACCTCTGACAAGCTAAAGCACCAATTGTGTAAAACCTCATTTCCCTGCTTGGACCTCCCCGTAGACAAGCTAAGAGTATCTCATTTGGTTAACCAGTTTGCAAAACTTAATAATGTAGCTAGGACACTATTACACTGGAGCTAGGACACTATTACACTTTGGATAATAAAAGGTTGACCATCATGGGGAGAAGGAAACAGGTACATAAAGCCTTACCACAAAGCATCTAATGAGGAAACAGGTGAAACATATGGCAGTCACAGATCCAACCTGTGATCACATACATACATCAGATCAGATGAACCAATTTAGAGTAAGAGATGTTAAGAATTATAAGCCATGATCTACCATGCATGCACGTGCTTAGAAACATTCATTAAAACTTCAGATAACACAAACATATTCACAGCAGCATCATTTAATGGTTGGTGACGCAGAAGACGTTGTTAGAACAATCAGATAGACCAATAAAACGTTTTCTTGAGTTGGCCACTAATGATCAATTAAGAAAAAAAAGAACTCCTTAGGTTCACAAATAGTGATAAAAAAAATTCTTTCTTCAGAAACATCATATGTTAATATTGTGTTTCCATCTAGTCAGACTAATCTAAGATATTTTTATTTCCTGTTTATTCATCAACAAAGAAGAAAAGGAAATCAGCCAAGCGTAGTTTGTTTTCAGTTAATGCTTATGAAGAGTCTAGCAAGTCTTCTGAGGTGTAAAATGGAGTACTTCCCATCAAGTTTATTTGGGTCTGTGACTAGGAGCTAAAAACAAGGAGTCAAGGGTATGATGAGGGGCTTGCACAATTCTCAATTATTCTACCAGGCAACGATACCCTCCCATCAATACAGGTATTGAGATGAGAAACAATCATCCAGCATCTTTTGCCTTTATTGACATATGGCGAGAAGTTATTGAAAGATGTGAAAGGAAATCAATCCATTGAAAGAAGTGATCTCTCTCATATGGGTAAAGGATGAACTTACAAATATGTATTGCAGGGATCACCATCTATCTAATATCACTAGTATCAATTCCTTCTAAAGTTGAAAAACAAACGAATAAGTTGAGAAGTAACTTTTTATGGGGATTTAATTGTGAGATGAAGAAGGTGCATTTGATTAGATGGTCAACTATGAGCAAACAACTGGGGACTAGTTGTGAAGAGCTTTAGACTATTTATTAAGTGTCTTTTAAGTTCAAATGGCCATGGAGATGGAGATGGAGACTGAATACCAACAAAGAGAAGATGTGGAATGGGTTATCAAAGATTAATATGGAATTGATGGACAATGATGCAGTAAAGCAGTCACATCTTATGGAGTTGTATTAGGAAGATGAATCGGAAATCCATGGGGAGAGTTTGCAGAGGTGGAAAGGTCAAAATGGATAATAGCAGAAGAACAAACTATGGCAAGACAAACGACTGGAAACCAGCACTCTGAAACAACTCTTCCCAAGTTAATATAATCTTTCATCAACAAAGAGTATTTGACGTACATTGGAGAACCCTTCAAAGAAGAATACTGGAATCTCCAATGTAGAATAAATCATCAATTTTTTTCTTAAAAAAATCATCAACACTAGGTACAGTCTGTGTGTGCTAGTTGTTAAATTAGGGGGAGTGATGGAAATGGATCATTGGATGATGGGAACTTCTCAGCTAAAGCATGATACAGTTAGTTGTTAAGGAGGAATGTGGTAATATTGGCTTAGTAGTCATGGAAGATGACTTGGAGGACCAGAGCAACTCCCAAAGTGGCTGTTTTTGGGTATTAGCCTTAAATGAAGCATGCATAACATATGATAGCCAGCACAGAGGAAGATTTCACTTCTCCAGCAGATACTACTACTGCAAAGAGGGCTTTAAATCATTTAGACACTTACTCCTACGCTGTAAATTCATCTGGATAACTTGGTGTATATTTCTAAACCGGTTTGGGATTGTTTGGATGATGCCTGGTAGAGGCAGTACAAAGTTGGCAGTGCAGGGAATCAAGAAGAAACAGAGGACCTTATTAAAAAATATACAGAGGACTTACAGAATCCCTCTATGTTATTTCAGATGGTTTGAATAGAAGGGAACTGCAGCTGCTTTCAGGATAAAGCATCATCCTTATCTTTTGTAATATTGAAATGCTTACAGAACATGAATTTTTGAAGCAGGAATGCTGCTACTGATTTTGACCATATAGTGGTGTTCATTGACTCCTTACATTGTTAAAGGAATAAATTCCTAGCTACTATCGTGCACTCTTACACCTTGTTGGTGCTGCAGATGGTTTAATAAAATCTTAATCATAAAAAAAGAGGAATCTAGAGAAGGGAGACATCAAAAGTTGGTACCCTAATGTTGTATGTTATAATTTGTTCCATTCCTGCTCATCTAGTTAGGCAATCTTTATTACTTGACATCTTCTGTCTATTTATATCCAAACAACTTTGAACAGTCCCATCAGATTGCAGATACAGAAATTAATAATTTGCTGGAGTTGAGCTTATGGTCAAAGTCAAACACATTATGTGACACAAACTAAATAGAAAAAGATAGTATGCACCAGCCTTTGACAGTTTAGTGGATTCATGACCAAAAGGTTACCCCTTCACGCACTGAATAAAATGTCTGAATAAGAATGTCACAACAAGGTTCCATATTCTTGTTAATTATCATTTTAGAATTTAATTATACAATCTCAGGGATAGCCTTACTCTAGCTCTCCACTTAAATGTTACCTGGACTAAATATATCAGTCATTCACCGCAAGTTAAGATTATAATATAGCAGAACAATTAGCAGGACATCTTAGGACAAGGAAATTAATCAAACTTCATGTTTAAAAAGTTTCTCCCTCTCGGTGCTGTAGGGAGAACTTAAGTTTGTGAGGAATAAATCTTATGCCTTACATGCAAACGTATTCTATGCCAAACTACAGCACTAACCTCTGTATATATAAAGTAAGAAGATAAAAGTGTAAATACCTTTACCAGTTCAAAAAGAAAAAAGAAGAAGAAGACAGATGTGTAGTACACAAACCTCATGAAGCTTCTTTCTCCTCCCTTTAGATTCAATAGGAAAGCGCCGCAGCATGAGAAATAACCTGATGATTGTAAAAACAAATTCCACAAGAAAAGCAATGAAATTTAATCATGTCTAAGGTCATGTAAGAATGATCAATAATGCTTTAGAAGATAAATGCACAGAGAAAATAGCACTTAAATTCACCTTCCACCATATAGCAGAAAGCCCAAGGCTGCAATAACTGATACAACTGCACCAAATAAACATGCAAGGTTAAAGAAAGCAATAAACTTTGAAAGCAGATCTAACCTTCCGTAAAATAGGGCAAAAGGAGAAAATTAATATAAAAGAGATTCACCTGCCATAAATATCTTCCCAATGAATTCCACTGTGCTATCGTCATTGACCCAGAGGTAAACCCAGATACAGGCCTGACAAAAACCATTTTTCAGTTGTATTTAGTTTATTACCTGAGATAAGACCTGGAAGACTCAAGAAGCTTCTTAGCTTTTGAGACAAGCGGGTCGATCGGGAATGTTCACCAAGAAATCAAGAATAATGGACATCTTTATTTATTTAGAAGTGAT